GCTGAGGAGTTGGCTGTCCTTCTAATCCCTTCCAGTACTATCTTCATTATACTCTAGCCATACCCAACACCCAGAAAACACAATGTGGGAGACTTGTATTCAGCTGAATAGCTGCGCCCGAAGGCACTAACTGATGATGTTCAGCTGGAAGGTTTTTAATAACAAGCCTCAGGGTTCTATTCTTGGTGGCGTCCTAATCAATATTTTTATCAATGACTTGGGTGAGGAAATGGATGGTGCACTAATCAAATTCTCAGATGGCATAAACCTGGAAAGGAGATCAAAGTCAAGATCCAAGAAGCCCTCAACAGGCTGCTCCTAACAGATTCAATTTAACTGTAATAGATTCAGTATTATGTCCTATGCTTAGGTTCAAAACCTATTGTATAGGGGCGCATGGGTGGCTCAGTCGATTAAGCGGCTGACTATTCATTTTGGCTCAGGTCATGATCTCACCATTCATGAGTTCGAGCCCTGCGTCAGGTTCTGTGCTCATAGCCATGGAGCCTGCTTCGGATCCTCTGTCTCCCCTCCCTCCCCGCCCCCTCTCTCTCAAAAATAAATAAAGGTCAAAACCTAGTGTGTAAAACTACTCTAAATGGCTTAATTAAGTGCAATTTCAATACAGGTGACATGGCCACCCCAAGTTCATTCACAGTTAGGTTGCATTAACAGACATGCCACATCCCCCAAAACAGAGAGGTGAATCTGATTTTTATACCTATCAGAGCACACTTGAAATATTTTGTTCATTTCTGCTACACACACACTGACAAAAGCGGGGAGCTTTCTGACAGAGCAGACAGGTTGAGGGAATTCTGATATGAGAATACTGTAAAGAACCAAAGACAGTTAGCTGCTTGGCCAGAAGCACACCTGGTAAGAATCGGTCTAGAAGGGCATGATGGCTGCCATATGAAAGAAGGGCCAGGCTTCCTTACTCCATGGGGGACAGACTGGGACTCAACATGGGTGATATCTTTTACATAATTAGAACTGTATAAAAAATGGAACAGGGTGCCCTGAAAGGCAATGAGCTCCCCAGCACTAGAAGGCTCCAAGCAGAGGCTGGGAAATTATAGAGATAATAAATACATCAGGGAGCAAATAAGAAAGGGATAACCTTTTATAATGTCTTCTAACCCTGAGAGATCAAGAAATCCAGCAGCTTCTGCATATGAAATGATGTCCAGTTCCACTTGTAATAAGAGACATATAAATTAGACTACCCCAAGAGAACAAAGTTTGGAAGGCTTTCACCACTCAACTTCAAGGTGTATAAAGCCACAGCAATCAAGGCAGTGTGGTATTGGCCTGGTAACAGAGAATCCAGAAATAGATCCAGATATATTTGGTCAATTGATTTTTGAGAAGGCTGCAAAGGCAATTCAGTGGAGAAAAGACAGTCTTTTCAACAGACTGTACTAGAAAAATTGAACATTGAGATGAAAAAAAAAAAGGACTTGGAAATACAGCTTGCACTATATACAAAAATTAACTAAAAATGGGTCCTACACCTAAGTGTAAAATTATAAAATTTCTAGAAGGAAACATAGGAGAAACTCTTTGTGACTTTAGATTTCTTCCCTCTTTTTTAAAATTATTAATGTTTATTTATTTTTGAGACAGAGACAGAGCATGAGCAGGGGAGGGGCAGAGAGGGAGACACAGACTTCGAAGCAGGCTCCAGGCTCTGAGCTGTCAGCACAGAGCCCAACACAGGGCTGGAACCCACAAACCATGAGATGAAGTCAGACCCTTAACTGACTGAGCCACCCAGGTGTCCCTGGTTTAGATTTCTTAGGCTCAATACCAAAAGCAGAACCCCCAAAAGAAAAAACTGGAAATGAGTGACCGAGGAGAAGAGTGGGAGGGGAGAAATTTTACTATATATATTTTTGCGCCTTTTGATTTTCAAACCATGTGAATGTATCAAATGCATCTTTAGAAAACTGGCAACCTCCCCCTTTTGGATATATGCCCAAAAGAAGTAAAAACAGGGGCTCAAAAAGCTATTTGTACACTCATGTTCACAGCAGCAGTATTCACAATAGCCAAAAAGTAAAGCAACCCCAGTGTCCATCAACAGATGAATGGATACATAAAATGTGGTCTATACATGTAATGGAATATTATCAGCCTTTAAAAGAAAATCCTAGGGGCGCCTGGGTGGCGCAGTCGGTTAAGCGTCCAACTTTGGCTCGGGTCATGATCTCACAGTCCATGGGTTCGAGCCCCGCATCGGGCTCTGTGCTGACAGCCTGGAGCCTACTTCAGATTCTGTGTCTCCCCCTCTTTCTGCCCCTCCCCCCGCTCGCTCTCTGTCTCTCAAAATAAAATAAAGACATTTTAAAAAGTTTTTTTAAAGAAAATCCTGGGGGCATCTGGGCAGCTCAGTTAACTAAGCATCCAACTCTTTTTTTTTTTTTTGGTGAGACAGAGATAGAGTGCAAGTAGGGAAGGGGCAGAGAGAGGGAGATGCAGAATCTGAAGCAGGCTCCAGGCCCCAGTCTCCAAGCTGTCAGCGCAGAGCCCAGTGTGGGGCTTGAACTCACAAACCGTGAGATCACGACCTGAGCTGAAGTCAGACGCCTAACCAACTGAGCCACCCAGGCACCCCAAGCATCCAATTGTTGATTTCAGCTCAGGTTCAAGATCCATATCAGCACAGAGCCTGCTTGGGATTCTCTCTCTCCTTGTCTGCCTCTCCCCTGATCACGTGTGTGTGTGCGCACGCCTGTGCATGCACTCTCTCAAAAATAGACATTTTTAGGGGCACCTGGGTGGCTCAGTCAGCTGAAGTTCCGACTTTGGCCCAGGTCATGATTTAGCCGTTCGTGGGTTTGAGCCCCGTTTTGGGCTTTGCACTGACAGCACAGAGCCTGTTTGGGATTCTGTTTCCCTCTCTCTCTGCTCCTCCTCCTCCTCTCTCCCTCTCCCTCCCTCTCTCCCTCTCCCTCCCTCCCTCTCCCTCCCTCTCTCTCTCAAAAATAAGTAACAACAACAACAACAACAACAACAACAAAAACCCAGACATTTAAAAAAATCACAAAAACAAGGGCGCCTGGATGGCTCAGTCGGTTGAGCATCCGACTTTGGCTCAGGTCATGATTTCCAGCCCCTCCTGGGGCTCTGTGTTGACAGCTCGGAGCCTGGAGCCGGCTTCAGGGAGTCTGTGTCTCCCTCTCTGCCCCTCCCCTGCCCATGCTCATGCTCTGTCTCTGCCTCTCTCTCAAAATTAAATAAACATTAAAATTTTTTTCAAAAAGAAGAAAGAAATCTAAACCAAAGTCTCAAAGAGTTTCTCCTATGTTTTCTTCCAGAAATTGTATAATTCTACATTTAGGTGTAGAATCCATTTTTGTTAATTTTTGAATATAGTGCAAGCTATATTTCCAAGTCCTTTTTTTTTTATCTCAATGTTCAATTTTTCCAGTATAGTCTGTTGAAAAGACTGTCTTTTCTCCACCGAATTGCCTTTGCAGTCTTCAAAAATCAATTGACCAAATATATCTGGATCTATTTCTGGATTCTCTGTTACCAGGCCAATACCACACTGCCTTGATTGCTGTGGCTTTATAAACCTTGAGGTTGGGTTCATGGGTTCAAGCCCCGTGTTGGGCTCTGTGCTCACAGCTCGGAACCTGGAGCCTGCTTCGGATTCTGTGTCTCCCTCTCTCTCTACCCCTCCCCACTCACACACTGTCTCTCTCTCTCTCTCAAAAATAAAAACATTAAAAAACTTTTCTAATTTAAAAAATATAATAAAATGATTGATTTTATCATAATGATAAAAAAAAAACACCAACCTCTGATTCTGATTTTGCAATTAGATCCGGCTTATGTTACTAAGCAATATTCCCCCATTTGAGTTCCATGTCACCTTCAGGCATATTTACGCTCTTTTAAACACACCTTTGATTTTCTCTCCAGTATATATCTTTTCCAAGTACTTCCCAATATTTTTCTGTTCACCTTCCTACTAAGGAATATTGTTATCATGAATTTCTTTTTCAAAAGGATCCTGAAATTAAGAAAACTGGATTCAGGGGCACCTGGGTGGCTCAGTTGGTTAAGCGTCAGCCTTCAGCTCGAATCGCAATCACACAATTCATGAGTTCAAGCCCCACATCAGGCTCTCTGGCTCTCTGTCAGCTCAGAGCCCACTTTGGATCCTCTGTCTCCCTCTTTCTCTGCTCCTCCCCCACTCTCTTGCTCACTCTCTCTTAAAAATAAACATTAAAGGGGCGCCTGGGTGACTGTCAGTTGAGCTGCAACTTCAGCTCAGGTCATGATCTCAGAGCTAGTGGGTTCGAGCCCCACATAGGGCTCTGTGCTGATAGCTTGGAGTCTGGAACTTGCCACGGATTCTGTGTCTCCCTCTCTCTTTCTGTTCCTCACCCACTAATACTCTACCTCTCTCTCTCTCAAAAATAAATAAACATTAAAAAATTTTTTAAATAGGGGTGCCTAGGTGGCTTAGTCAGTTAAGCATCCTACTTTTGCTTGGGTCATGATCTCACGGTTCGTAGGTTCGAGCCCCCCGTTGGGCTCTGTGCTGACTGCCAGCTCGGAGCCTGGAGCCTGTTTCAGAGTCTGTGTCTCCCTCTCTCTCTGACCCTCCCCTGCTCACGCTGTCTCTCTCTCTCCTAGAAATAAATAAAAAAAAAATTTAAAAAAATTTTTTTAAATAAAATAAACATTAAAAACTGGGTTTATATAATTACAGAGGTTTCTGACTTCCCAAAGGCTGGTGAAAGCCCTGGAAGGGTCTCCTTCCCTTGGGCACCCCTAAGTCCCCTACCACTTTGGCCTTCGGAGCTAGGGAAACCCAAAGCGATCAATGTGAGATATGCCGAGCCTGAGGCAGGCATCGTGCAGGGTTTAAATCTGGCCCTTACCCTACTTGCCTCACCACGTGACCAATACTGTTTACTACAGTCTCAGCAGCCACAGGCAAAGCTTATAATTATACAAACCCCTGATCACCAAACCACGCATTCTGGCTGGCGGGTCAGTTCCGGAAGAAAAACATTCCTGTTACAGCTTTGGCCTGCCCTTTGGTTCACCTGTGCTACTGGAAACAAAACCAGGCTTGGAAACCAGGGTTCAACCAATGTTTCTAAAGGAGCCTAGCGTTCAGGTAAAGAAAGACACTCTCCAGGAAACAACACTGACCCGATGACAAGGTAAAAAAATATTGACACACATTTACCAGTAGAGAAGTGCCAACAGTGATCTGGAACTTCTTACTTGGAACACCAGGGTAGGGCTTAGAGGCTTTGTATCTTTCTAACTCACTACTGTAAGAGCTCCTACTTAACTCACCAGATAAGGTTCAATAAAGCCTTGGGTTTAGGTAGTATTTGCGTTAGTTTCTATAAGGAGAGGGAAGGGCGCTATTTCCCAAGCCCAACATTAGGCAAAGGGCAGTGGGACAGAACCAAAGCATTGTGACCTTCACTTCTCATTAGTTTGGCAGGAGTTAAGCTTTCCGAAACGCTGATTCTCAACACTTGGAGCTGGCACCCCTAGCAACTTCTCAAAATAGAAATGTGAAGGGCTTTCTGTTTTCTTCCATCTCCGCTGCCCAGCCCCGGCTCTCCCCCAGTCTAATCTTCTGATGTCGGGTCACCACAAACAAGGGGCAGGGTAGGGGTAGGGGGGTGGGCGAACTTCAAGGGCATTTAACTCTCAATTATTTGGCAGCTGATTCACAAGAGGATGGTTTGAACTTCACCTCCCTGGTCAAGGAACTGGCTCCACGGTATCCACCAGTTTAGTTTCTCTATTTGAAGTGCTAACAAAAAGAACCAGTGAGCAAGGATGTTAAAGCTAACAGGGCAGCTAAAATAAGACTTGCAGAGAATCTGTGGATTTTATTTGAACACACCGCCCCTGTTCCAGGGTTAATAATAGGCTACATTCTGATGTGTTCTGATCTTTAGAGTGATTTTCAAACTTTTTTTTTTTATCCCGTGGACCATTTTTATTTGACTCTTTAGATGATGAACCTTATCTGTGCCATTGCTTAAAAAAAAAAAATTAAAACTACCTGTTGGAATTCTAAGATCAGCCTTTCTTTTACCAAGATTACCATAAAGACAGACCACTGGAGAATTTTTTTCTGCAGTGGTTCTCAACCTTTTCCTGCCTCTACACCGTTCTTATACGAGAGTTATCCCTATCAGTAACACAATAGTTCCCCCCAAATGGAGGAAGAGGTTACCTTGCTCTGACTCCGTCCCTTCCTGCCCTCTCATCTGAGAATCATTGAAATCATTTGGCCCCATATAGAAAGACCACACAAATTTTAATCCAGGAAACCAGCCGGTGAACTACCTGCTGGTTACTTACAAATAGCGAAGGCCACAATGCATTAACCCAGTAACTGCTAGTACCTATGCTATATACACCTATAGCTAAAAGTCCTCCACAGGCTTTCTCCTTTAACGCACTCAGTCGCCGTGCAAGAAGCTCATAGAAGTCAAGGAGCTTGATTTCTCAATCACACCTAGGAAACAATTGGTCTAGTGGATAAACAACTTAAGAATCTGGACCTCAGGGTTCCAGTCCTGGCTCTAGCTGACCCCGGCCCCGCCCCTTTGCCTCTCCCAAAAGTTACTCTCCACATTTGTAAAATGAAAACATTACAACTCCTCCCTCCCCACTTCCGCCGTCTAAGAGGGCCCGGGGAATAACTGAAGTATGTCACTAAAGCTGAGTGTGTGAACAAAGCAGGAGAAAACTATCATCTCCAAATGCAAAAATTACATGCCCAAAGGAAAACAGATTGGGTGCAAAGCTCCCTCCTCTTTTTTTTTTTTTCCTAGAGCCACACAAAACCTCGGAAGAGAGGGTGGGATGTAGCAGCACGTGACCAAATCAACGAACACGCCAAAGTGCAGCCTGTGGTTCCACACCAATGAAAGAAGGGCAAGGTTTCCCTGGCATCTGGCACCGGGCACCTGGGAGGGGCTCACGCCGTGGCACGCGAGGGGCTGCGAGATTGGACTTCAAGAGTGTGCTGCCGGGGAAGGAGGGCACAGCACAGCGGTCGGTTTGCAGGATGGCAAGTACTGTGTTCCTATAGTTGCTTCTAAGGAGTCTTTAAATGTTTCTGGAAAGACGGAAAGAAAAAAAGAAAAAAGGCAGGGCATGCTCCAACTGCACAGTAGCCGCTCAGGGTTAAGCCTCTCGGTTCCGTCCACCTGGACCCGGGACGCGGTCAGCACGAGGGGCCGGGCAGCAGCAGAGCGCGCGCAGCGGGGACAACGGTTTGAACTGGGGCGGGGGGTGCTGACCCCCAGAGGCCTATAAATACACTGGGCGTCGGCGCTGGAAGCCGCCCCCCTGCGCCAGGGCCCAGCCACCCCACAAACCTGGGGCAGGGATTCTTTGTTGGCAGGAGGCTTCGATCTGACGCGGGACCCCCAAGGGGCCAGGACTAAGGACAAGTGTGAGCACCTGGGGAAAGGAAACGGCCAGGAGCTGGAGGCAAGAGCCCGTCCCTTGACTCCCCTTCGAAGAGATCCCCTGAGGCCATTTCCTGGGTGCAGACCCCAGACTCCTCTCTCCTTGGCCAAGAATCCAGAGGACGTGGAAGGCCGAGCCCCACGCCCCCTTGCTTCCCCGCTCCCCTTGCCTCGGGCCACTGGCCTTCTCGTACTTACCGGGGCCCAGGGGCCTGTCTTCCTTGCTAGCGTCCTCTTCCCTCCCAGCCCCCTCCTCACTTCACGTCCCCTCCTCCAGGGGCCGCGGCCATGTCCGTTGCTGGCAACTCTAAGGGGGCTTGCCTCCTTTCTCGGACAACAGAGACGCCGCTAGCAAGCCAACGTTCTGGGCACTGATTGGTTGAAATCCGAGACGGGTGGGGATTTCTGGCTTCTTATTGGCTGCGATGCGCGCTAGACTGTAGCTGAAACTGTCCCTCTGGGAGCCTGGCGGAATTAAACGCCGAGGGATGCGGGAGGGAGAGTAAGGAACCGCTGTCCATCCTTGGGTATGTTGCTCTGGTGCTTTCAGGTCCAGAGGTCCTGACTAGGGGCGAGGGCACGGCTTCCACCTCAATTACTTTTCCTACAAAATTATCCAAAAAAGATGGACAGAGTCCCGTCCCCGACGCCTTCTTTCTTTTAAAAATCAGCCCTTTTGCAGAGCGCCCGCATCTACTTCTTCTAAGTTCCCTTCTTGTTGCTGTGAACAAATGCCTGGAGACATCTAGCTCGGAGTCTCTGGAGGGACCCCCTCAGAGACTAATACCGCAACCAAACCAAAGCTGGAGAATCTAAGGCAATACTTGAGTTTTCCCTTCAACTCAGCTGTACTCTAAAGGGAAAAACAAGTTAAAAAAATTTTTTCCCTAGATAGAGAAATCGTCTAGGAGAGCTCCCTGGGGAAAACAAAGCAAGCCTGTGTCAGTATTTACTTCTGCTTTCCCAGAGATGGAAGTCTGGAGGCTTGGTTTTTGTGTTTTGTTTTTCAATCTGTTTATAAAATCAGAAGAGGGTCATAGCTGGCCCTGGGAAGTAAGAGCCCCTTTCCCCTGTTAATGAATTTAATTATGTAATTAAAATCTCTCTTCTGAAGAGGTATCCTTTTGGTGCCTAATCATGTGTGTTTCAACGGTTTTAGCCGTTGCTTAAAACAGTGATAGAATCATGTTACCTTTCTGCACCCAAAAATCTTCTGCAATTTATCCTTGCATATAAAGTCTGTATCTCTCTGCTGGACATACAAAGCCCATCATAAATCAATTCAGACATAGGTTTCCAGGCTAATTCCCCACAGGCCAAACTAATCCTGCAGCCACATAGATTCACCATCCCTTTTTAGGATTCCCAGTGTGAGGCTTGATGCATGACTCTGGGATGAAGACCTCAGCTGATATCAAGAGTTGGAGGCTCGGGGCACTGGGTGGCTCAGTTGATTGAGTGTCTGACTCTCGATTTCCACTCAGGTCATGATCCCAGGGTTGTGGGATCGAGCCCTGGGTTGGGCTCCATGCTGAGTGTGGGGACTGCTTGAGGTTCTCTCTCCCTCTGCCCCTCTCCTCAACTCTGTCTCCAAAATTAAAAAATAAAAATAAAAAGAGTTGGATGTTTAACTGTCTGAGCCACTCAGGCACCCCAGATTCTCCATCCTTAATATGCATCCAGGACCATCCTCCCTCTCTGCTCTTTAACCCAAGAGCTTCCCTACCTTTAAAGATTCATTTTTACCAATAAAGCCAACCTTCAAATACACGCACATCCAGAAAGTTCACCTCCGATGCTCTCTGCCTCAAAGCCTTCCCTGACTTTTAGTCACTGAAATTCTCTGTCTAGTGCTATGCCTCTCTGTGTCTCCATTGACACCTTTACAAAAACAATGCTTTGTACAGCATTATTTTTGTAAGGCCTGAAGCTCCCTGAAGACACTGGCTTACCCTGGCAGTCTCCACAGCGCCTCACTCAGAGCCTTGTACCCAGTAAATGTTTCCTGAATTGAACTAGCCAATTGCCTATACCTTATGTCTTTCCACCTCATCCCAGAAGGTTTATGTGGCTACATTTGGAAGGTTAACAAATGTAACATAGTCATCCTGCCTTGCTCCACCTTGTACCCCGTCTCCTCTAGTCACACTTGTTTCTCTGCTCCACTGTGTCTTATGAATATCACTCAGCAAACTTGAACTGTGCACTTACCAGTTTCAGGGATTATGCTACACTCCTTTACTCCCTGACCATTCCCTCCCTCAGTACCCCTAGCCATAAAACTTTGGTGAATAAGTAAATCGAATCACTCAAGCCAAAGGGTCCCAGGGAACCCAATCTAAGTTCACCTTGGCAAGACTTTCTACAGCTCTGAGGTCCCTGTGGTCATGTCTTGATGGCTGTCTAGCAATACCAGGCGCTTTTGCAGTCCTTCATTGTTCTGGAGCCTTCTCTGTCTCCCTTCCAAAATAACCTAGATAGGAGCGCCTAGGTGGCTCAGTTGGTTAAGTGTCCAATTTCAGCTCAGGTCCTGATCTCACGATCTGTGGATTCGAGCCCGCATCAGGCTCTGTGCTGACAGCTCTGAGCCTGGAGCCTGCTTCAGAGTCTGTGTCTCCCTCTCTCTCTGCCCCTCCCCTGCTCATGCCTCTCTCTGTCTCTCTCTGTCTCTGTCTCTGTCTCTGTCTCTGTCTCTCTCTCTCAAAAGTAAATAATCATTAAAATATTTTTTTTTTTACAAATAGTTTATTGTCAGGTTGGTTTCCATATAACACCCAGTGCTCATCCCCACAAGTGCCCTCCTCCATGCTCATCTCCCCCCTTCCCCCACACCCATCAGTAAAATAATTTTTTAAAAAGATTTCTTGTAAATCATTTGTGTAATTCCCCCTTTGGCATTTTTCTCAAGAGAATGCAATAATATCTGATGTTGCTTTGTGATTATTTTTGGATGCCAACTAACATTTCTTTGTCTATAATTCTGTATAAAGAATGGATATAGCCATTGCTAGGCTTCCTATAGTTAATAGCATTACCTATGTGTCATTTCTCTTCCTGTGATCCCCTTGATTCCAAGGACTCTGTCTTATTCATCTTTGTGTCCCTACTTATTAACAAAGTGCCTGGCACACCACAGACATCTGATGCTTGTTGAATAAATGAACTGGTGCCCAATTACCCTCTTCTCTAGCATTTTTAGTTGCTTCCTTTCTATCAGTTCTTTTCCCCTAGCTGTATAAACACGCATAGGCCTCTCCTTAAAACAAAAGGGGAGGGGCGGTAGAGGGAAAAAAGAAGAAGAGGAGAGGGCCTTCCACACTCAAAGGTCTGGCCTGTGTAACACTCCTCTGCCATACAGCTAATAGATCTGCCAGCAAGAAGTTCCCTCTCCTTTGTTAAAAAAAAGTTTAAATCTTTTATTTTATTTTTGAGACACAGAGCTCAAGTGGGGAAAGAGCAGAGATAGAGCGAGACACAGAATCTGAGGCAGGCTCCAGGCTCTGAGCTGTCAGCACAGAGACCCGAGGCAGGGCTCGAACCCACAAACCATGAGATCACGACCTGAGCTGAAGTCGAATGCTTAAAGACTGAATCATCCAGGTGCTCCTCTCCTTTTTTTTTTTTTTTTAATGTTTATTTACTTATTGGGAGGGGGGTGGAGAGAGAGAGGGAGGGAGAGAGAGAATCCCAAGCAAGCTCTGCACCTTCAGCACAGAGCCTGACACAGAGCTCAGTCTCACAAACCGTGAGATCATGACCTGAGCCAAAATCAAGAGTTGGTTGCTTCACCAACGGAGCCACCCAGGTGCCCCAGCTCCTTCTCCTTCTGCAATGTAATGTCTCTGGTGTAGTAGCTAGTAGTAGCACCTAGTGACTTCACCTTAGGTATTACAGCTAACAGAGAATCATTGCTTCATTCATTTTGTGACCCTGTGGGATATTTGAGAGATCTAGATGAACATTTCAGTGTAATTTGACTTTAAGAAACATGTTTTGGGGTACATGAGTGGCTCAGTAGGTTAAGCATCCGATTTCGGCTCAGATCATGATCTCGCGGTTTGTGACTTCAAGCCCCGCATTGGGCTCTGTGCTGACAGCTCAGAGCCTGGAGCCTGCTTCAGATTCTGTGTCTCCCTCCATTCTCATGCTCTGTCTCTCTCTGTCTCTCAATAATAAATTTTTTGATGTTGTTTAAAAAAAAAATTTAAAAAAGAAACATGTCTCAAATGTTATTAAATCAGCCTGAAATAAACCCCTTTGAAACTGACCAGCAACATCAAACTATGTTGACCTACCAGTCAATTGGTCAACATATGTTTACTGAATTCCTTGTATGTACCAGCTCAGAACTGGACACTGGGCATATGGTGGTGAAGAAAACTGACAGGATGCCTGCCCTTGAGCCACTAATATTCTAGTGGAGGAGCTAAGGTGTTAAACAAATAATTACTTCATCACAAGCGTGCAAAGTGCTGCAAACAAGCATCTCTACTGGGATCTTAGCATCTTGGTTGCCTCTGGCAGGGCTTCCTGAAGAAGTAAGCTTTACCCTGAAATCTTAAGGATGACCAGTTAGCCAGACAAGGGGAATGAAAACAAGCATTGCAGAGGGACAGGTGGCATGTGCAAAGGCCTTGAGGAAGGAAGATATGAGACCAAGGAACCGAAGGGGATTCCTGCATGTCTGGATCAGAGAAGAGGGAGAGCAGAATGGTGGAGACAAAGCCAGAGGTGTCAGGGGGCAGCTCATTCAGGGTCTTCTGCACCACATTGCAGGTTTTGAACTTTATTCTGGGGGCTTTGGAAAACTCTTGGAAGGGGTTGGTAAGTAATCTCTACAGTTGGTGTGGGGCTCGAACTCAGATCCTGGGATCAAGAATTGCCTCTGCTACTGACTGAGCCAGGCAGGCACCCGGAGGGTTTTCAACAAGAGAGTTGAACAACAAGTTGTACCGTGGTTCGATTGACATTTACAAAAATACTCATTTTGGGGGCACCTGGGTGGCTCGGTTGGTTAAGTGTCAGACTTCAGCTCAGGTCATGATCTCACAGTTCGTGAGTTCAAGCCCCCACGTCAGGCTGCACGCTGACAGTTTGGACCCTACTTGGTATTCTCTCCCTCTCCCTCTTTCTCTGCCCCTTTCCTCCGATCCCGGCTCATGTGCACACATCTCTCTCTCTCTAAAAATAATAAATAAACATTAAAAACTAACACACAGGTGCCATTTCTCATCTATCCTATTAGATAAAATAATAAAATTTAATAATGCCGGGTCTATAGTGAAACTTGTATGTTTATGCATTATTATTTTTTTTTTTTGTATTGCAACATGCATGGTTATGATAGCTTTGCTGGCCAATCTGACCATGAAATAATCAACTCTTTTTTTTAATATTTATTTATTTTGGGGGGAGCCTGGGTGGCTCAGTCGGCTAAGCGTCTGACTTCGGCTAGGTCATGATCTCACGGTTCATGAGTTCGAGCCCTGCTTTGGGCTTTGTGCTGACTGCCAGCTCAGAGCCTGGAGCCTGTTTTAGTTTGTGACTCCCTCTTTCTCTGACCCTCCCCTGCTCACGCTGTCTATCCCTCTCCTAGAAATAAATAAAACATTAAAAAAAAAAAGAAAAGAACTAAACAGCAGCCCACTGACATCCAGGTCTTCTGCATGCTCCAAAACAGCCATTTTTAACCTTCCAGAAGAGAAGCCATATTTCACTGTTCATTGATAGGAATTGCACCTAGCCTAGCTTGCCGTTGTGGTCAGAGAGCTTGGGGCATTTCGTGGGGGAACTGTGTCAGAAAGTCCTGCCAGAGGAGTTCAGAGCCATTTTCTGAAGAGCCAGTATTAATTATCTGAAGATAAAGGAGAATGCCCCTTCCCCTGTCACTTTTATATTTTTTAAAGTACACTTTTTTAAAATATTTATTTTTAGAGAGAGAGAGAGAGTGCATGCATCACGGAGTGAAGAGGGAAAGAGAGAACCCCAGGCAGGCTCCACGCTGTCAGTAAAAAGCCCAACGTGGGGCTTGATCTCAAGAACTGTGAGATCATGACCTGAGCTGAAATCAAGAGACAGACACAACTGACTGATCCACCTAGGCACTCCTCCCCAA